GGATTAAATGTCACCGGACCTCTATGTCACATCCATCTTGACAAAGCGAAATAGTTGTAAAGATATGTTCTATATTGCGTTATTATGTGTTCGCCCTTCGCAAAGTGTCTCTACTCTTAGGAGAGAAAGGAACAACTAATAAATGTAAAGGCGAATATCAAAGTTGTCCAGGTGTTCAGCAGTATAAATGACATTAACAGTTACTGACTGTGTGATATATTTGTATATTACAGCTAGTTTATGCGTTGGAAAGCCTGACAACCACATGACTCGCCACCCGTACCGCTGTGATCACTATATCAGGTGTAACAACAGCACGGTGCACGTTCTCAAGTGCGAGAACAAGCTCTGCTTCAACACCGAGACCAATACCTGTGGCCAGACAGGTAAGCACGTAGCCAACCAGTCTGCCTCATGATTATAATCTGTCCATACTTCTCTTATTTTGTTGATGATGCTAATGATAAACATATTATTTCTGTGATTTGTTATGATTGTTTGATATTAACAAACAGGATATTAACAACATTATACCAAAATATGTTGGAGAATTATACCGAGTTTTAACAAGATCCATAAAGCAATACCTTTACAAAGTATGATATTTTACTTCTATATATGATATACGACCAGGCCTTGTTTTATTAAAAACCTCAAACACGTTGTTTTCTTAATTTCTTTACATCCCTGAACGTGTATTATTATGTCTGTAAAAGGTTTACTCGGACATATCTAATAATCTGTCTAGATGGAATAAGAAAAGAAAATGAACAAGAAGCTTCGGGTCGTTCGTTTAACAAAATCCAAAAACGACAAATTATCAACAGATTTGACCAATAGTGTGTAACACGTTTTTTCAACAGGTATTGTGATGCATGACGTGGTGGCCTATATGAATGAAGGTGTGACGTCACTGACGTGCCGTGTGCAACATCTCGGTTCCTGGAGTGCACTTCGTCTTAGGAAGATACTGCCATCTGGTGACAGTATCACAATTGTAGTTGCATCCAACAAAACAAATGTAACAATTCAGGATCCGAACATGCGAGGGCGACTGTTTGCGGATATTCAAACGACTCAATATGAAGCTAACCTTAAACTATGGATATACACATTAGAGTGCGATGATGCGGGAACGTATCTTTGTGAGGCGGATGTTGATTATGAGTTACCCGCAACACGTGCACAGCTCACTCTCAAAGGTAATAAAAGACACCATCTAAAGCGCTTTATGTTCGAGGGGTAATTCGTTCATGGTTTTATACCTGAGGCATATAGGCAAATATTCAGTTCCGGGTAACATCTTAAATAGTCAATAGTCCTGACTATTTTCTAGTCCTATGTTTCGCGTAATTCGTAAGCTGTACATTTCATAGCTATGTATGAACAACGTGGAAAACACACTAGTTGCAGAAGTATATGTACACCGTAGAGTGATAACACTTAACTTTTATTCATGACATGTCCGTCAATATGACAATGCTAGCCGCTTATACTTCACTGTCCAGTGCACGTAAAGGCAACATGTTTAGTTAGCCGTTATATGCATATGAATATCGCATTATAGTAACTATATTGGTAAGCAAGGTACAGTCTTTGGCAGATACATTTATGTTTTGCGCCAAATATAAAAAGTTATTTTATTTTCTAGGCACAGGTATATGTAAAAATAAATAGCATCAAAACCGTCTGGAGAGACACCTGCCTGACGTCGCCACAAACATGACTGATAATACATTATTCCCGTTTACAGACAACTTTTAGTCAGTTTTATGTCGTACATAAGACGTAAACAGTGTAACGTTAAGTAACTGGCACCATATCATGGTATATACTTGAGCAACTTCCCTAAACTATGTTCAATTTTCTCACGAAGTTTATTTGACATGAAGGACATTAACTGGTCTCCGAGTCATCCTTTAATCTACAGTACACCTGTTTTCGACATATTTAGGTCAGACACAATCGTTTAGTTGACGTCACCTTCAGTTGTTATGTTGATGATTAAATGGTTACAGCACAATGACGTCATGAGCACTAAATACTCTCTAGTATACATGAATAATTAAATAAGATAGAACATCTACATGAGACAGTTATTTAACAAGGATTCAATGTATTCATGTATGAGGTTATAAACAACATACCAATAGGCAAGATAAAACAGTTTATCCCACAATGTGATTATAACAAGATGTTGTATAACCCAGTACCCACAATTACTTTGTGATTAAAATATCTCCGTTGTGATCCACTGGTCGATTCCAGAATGAAACCGGAATTGGTTTCGCACACTTAAGTGCAAATTTACGAACGGTAATGTGATGTCATTATTCCGTCCTTGACGACCTTTTGTCCGGCGGAGTTGTTCGGTTCAAGTTATCGTGAAGACATTTACCATATTAAATGACAATGATTAGTAACGATCTGCAACAAAATCTTGTGTATGCTATAAAAGCCATTTCACAGATGTATGTGGATATATATCACCCTGGTTTAAGCCATTTGGGAATGTACCAATACGCACAATGCAATAGGAGAGGTCAGGTGGACACACGAACGATATTGTCTTTAGATTAAGATCTGGTCTGTGACAACGAATATGTTGGTGTTTTAAATCTGTCATATTTTATATTTGAATCCTATTCAGACTGGTATCAATGCGAAAATATCATACTGGGATTAAAAAAGATCAACAGACACAAAGAGACAGAAATAAAAAAACAAAAACAAAAAACACTAAAAAAAACAATAACATCATTTTTACAATTGCAAAACAAATTCGTTAGAGAAAGTCATATTAACGATGGAGCAAGCTAACCAAACTTTGAAAAAGACTGTATTTGAGTAAGACCTAATTATGTATGGAGTGTCGTAGATGTACCTATTACTGGATGGCAGAAGATGTATTACTGACGCCGACCTTTACTATACTTAATACAGAGAACACGTCAACCTGTCACAAAAAACATGGCACAGTGATGAGGTTAAGTCTTAAAAACTATTCACGGAATGTACCTATAATCATTAATATACAGTGTTATGTGTTTGTCAAAAAGGGCGTATTTCATATTGAAAATGCCATTTACAGTATTGCCAATTTGTTGCAAACCCCAGCAGTGAAATAAATAACTAAATGATAAATCAATCTACATACAGTCTATAATTTATTAGTTTGAATTAAAAATGCAATGACACATAATATAATCAAGACCAATATATCTGTTTAGAAAAAATAAGTGTCAGACCATCTATGCTAATTAAACATATGTTTAAACAATATTACCGAGATTTTAGTGTTATATCAATATGGGGCTCTGTTTACGCATACCATACTTTATAATTATCTGTTTTTACCTAATAAATATTATAAATAATTTCATTTACTTTCCAGTAAACTTATCATTTTAGCTTATTGAATGAATTATTATATTTATCTCGTTTTGTCAAATTTCAGTGAAGCCAAAACCGCCACAGATCACGAGTCCAATAGAAATCCTGGAAGGGAAACGACTCAGGCAAAGCTTTACGTGTGAGGGAGAGGTAGGGTATCCCAATGGTGCCCTACGGTGGGAAGTCAAGTACAAGGACCAAACCAAGTTCTCCGGAGTTTCTTTGGCAGTATTCAACGACACCAAGACTAAATCCGTGGTCGGGAACTGCTCCAAAATCATCAGGCGAGAATTGTCCTTTACACCTTCAACAGAACAAGACGAAATGGTGTTGAGATGTGTTGTTGAAAATAACGACACATTACCAGATGGGCAGACATTGTGGGATTCGTTCAAAGTTCATGTCATTCCAGGTAGGAACTATCAGTCTAAAATAGCATTCCAACAGAATACATAACGGTTCAAAATTATCCGCGACTTTTTATAAAGAGGATTTACACATGTATTTTGTATGCATTCTTATTATGGTATTCCTATTGAAATTTAGCGTATATGCATTAAACTGTTAGATACGTCTACTGATTTTGCAGGTTCTTCTAAAGACATTTCTTTTAATTTTAGTGCATAGTAAATTAATTTTCTCCTAGATAAAGTTGTTTCGTCTTTAAATATGACAGTCGAACTTTAACCTCAAACAAACTATGTTTTCTTAGATTCATTTAAATGATTTTGAAGTAAAACAGTAAACACATACATAAGTTTGACTTCAATCTATAGGAATATGGTTAGTTATTTAAAATAATATTGATTATGTGAATGAACAAAGCTCGCAATGGCAAAGGTTTTATAACCTTAATCTCCATATCAACGGGATATTCAAGTTGTATTAAAGAGCTTGTATCATTAAACTGACAAATTAGATCAGAGACGACTTCGAAATGAAAGAGAAAAAAAAAATATTGTCGTATTTATGATAAAGATGTTCGACTGTTTCCTATTTAAGCAAACTTCTGTAGTTCCGACAACTCAACGTACCTGATCCACCCTCACAACTGTCGACAGTATATCCAGTGTGCCCAGGGATACGTGTACGTCAGACAGTGTAGCGTCGGTCTCTGCTTCAATCCCGACACTCAACAGTGTGACATCCCAGAACCGATAGAGTTCACTGTCTGTACGTATACCCTATATATACTACCTCACTCTCACAGTCAGCTCATTTTCCAGTTTAGTTTAATTATACGAAAAAAATGTTAAAAGGAGGAGGGGGGAGTGTCTTTAATTGATAAATCTTTTAACGTGATTTTACTTATATTTTATTGAAAGTTATACAATAATGAATGCATAAATCGATAAAACTATAGGATAGATTTGAATAATTGTATGTTTGTAAAGGTACACAACTCTAACACAACCAAGAAAGTATAATTTGTAAGATGACATACATGTATCCTTAACGACCAGTTATATCTAGCTTCTCTGAATACATCTTGTGAAGATATTGATTTGCTTTTCCGTGTACTATATATAGTGACGGTGAGTTGAAAATAATGAAAACTTTAATGAAATACAATTATGGAGTTATTCTTCAGTAATGTTTACAATTTGATATTTTTTATCCAGAGTATTATATCTAACGAATAATTTTCATCCTACTGACTTCTATACAATTTTTGGTATCAATCATAAACCAGTCTTCGGTTAAAAGTCAATTTTAAAACGGGTATCAAACTAGGATGAATAACACACACGGAAAATTTACTGAAGTATATCGTTCAATTAGTTATTCTCTTTTTATTTTATTTTTTCAGTGGCTTCATGGCTTTTGCTATTCAGCAAATGAAAATTTGTTTTTGTAAATATGTGATGTTTGAATTAATGGACATTTGTTTAACTTCCTTTTTTATTTCACTCACTAGTTGATCCAGAGTTTCCTTGTCGACCAAACAAAAATGGTGTATACTTTCCACATGCCTTCCTCTGTAACAAGTACACGTGGTGTGTACAAGGAAAGGGAATCCTCCAACACTGTCCCTTAGGAACTCTCTACCTGGCAGACGGCCAATGCACATTTAACACAGAACAGTCGCTCTGCTACAGCAAGGACGAGTTATGATAACTTTAGAAGGTTTATTTATCTGAAGACCACACAATGGACCAATCGTTTAAAACTACCCTTGTCATGTTCTCAAGAGATCTTAGTTAATATACCGTGGAATGAACGAATTGTGATAGTTCATATTAAGTATGAAGATTTCGTTGGATTAACATATGATAAATTCAAAGTTCGGCGTGATAAAGATTTAAACACATTGAATCTTTCCTTGTCAAAGTTGTGCTAAGCACTGCACAATGTTGTGATGGTTAAGCTTCATGGCTATCTGCAAACTAAGCTTTGGGCAAATTGTTGAATAATTACCTAAGATAGTGCTAATTGTTGAATAATTACCTATGATAGTGTTAATTGCCGAACAAAACATTTTACGGTGTTATCAAACAGTTACAATCCAGGAATTCATCTGAAAAAGAATTCTACAGTAGACGCCCGAGAGCCAGATATAGTGTGTGAGCAACAACATGCTTCATGTGAAAGACTGACGTCAGTAATACCTCTATAACGGTGTAAACATAAAAATAGATTTCTGCTATAGCAACGACATACATTTCCTCTGGGTAAAGGCGGTGGTACAGTGCATAAGTTTTGAAACAAGAAATTTACTACTGAAGAAAGTGTTACTTTGAAAAGCCGGTTCATCAATAATAGCGGAGTACCAGTAAACCTGTATTTCACAATACGTGTGCAACTATGGCTGTAGACTGTAATGAATAATTCGAAAAAGCGGAAGCAGCTTGAAGGTATTCCAGGAAAAGAAATCTGATAATGAGGATAATTCCTGTCACAGCACATAAAACTATCGAACGAAGGCAGCGTTAAGTGTATGGAGATCACAGTTTTGGATCCTATTGGAGTAACATAATTAAAACATACTGAGTATCTCAAATCATTTAATTGTGTTCTCTTGTCAAAAGTCAGAGGAAACTTGTCTAGTGAACGATATGAAAGTGCAAGTGATGGTCTTTTGTCAAGAAATACAAATGTTTCCTTGAAGGAAATAACTCTTCTTACGACTTTTTGTGATATTCAGAGTGCTTCTGTTTCCAGTTCAAGGTCAAAATTTGTGCAACGAAGGATCAATAGCAAAAAAAAGATCAGGATTAAATTCACTATCGTCTTATAGTTTGACAGTCAACAATTATCTCGGTAACGAGCGGTTTTATAAAACACGACTGAGACATTGACTGGTTCATAAAACGAGTTAAATCTGTTGTTAGTTTCATAGTTTACATGTGTACATAGGTGTCATTTTTCTGCAAATCATTTACATTTTTACATTTAATCACAGAGCAATGCATAAAACAACTACTACATCTCAATAAATACATGAAATCGTTTTGGTAATCTTGTAAATGAGTGCAAATATTCTTGTAGTTTGCTTTTGCCATATTGTGTGGCATATAGCAGAAATAGAGAATCCTATGATTTTCGAATTCAGCTTGCTAATGAATCAGCACCATTATAATCAACTGTTACATTGAGTGTTAAGATTAAATTAAATGAAATTAAAACTTTCTAATTGTTTAATAGATTGTTAACAATGCCAGTTTTTAATATGTCTCAATAATTCGGTGGCAGAGAGGAAATAACGTCTTTAGACAACTAAGTGCACAAGGACTGTGTCATTTTATTTGTTGCACATTTCGTCTCATTTGAAAAATATTTGTAATGATTCCAGATGTTACTATGACAGTATTGTAGATTCTAAAATGCGAAATAACTTATTTTATCAACATTGTGTACATATAAAGGACTATTAGGATGTCAAACGTGGAACACATGGTGAGTTTGATTCATGTCATCATCTAAAGTTAATGCAAACCCATTACTTACACACGTGCCGTATTACCTGGCCTTATTAGATATACATACTATTACACATGTTTGTAAAGTTATACACGGATGATCCGTCATTTACCGTCCTGAAATGACCATAGCTGTAGATAGGACGTTAAACAATACTAAACCAA